ACCAACAGAGGTAACGGAAGGCGTTTTAAGGACATAAAGCAAATTCCCCCGAAATTAAAATATATACGTCTGGAAGTTCAAAGAGTACAGGGTATAACATAAGTTTAACAGAAAACATCCAACTCTGAGACATGGTCTGGTGAAGCTAAGGAGCTATGAGGCAAAAAGAAAGACTTTCAGAAATTCATGAAGAAACGCAAATCGCCTGACGTGGAGGAAAAATCAGGGCCCCTAAGCTTCACCCCAGCAGTGCTCGCCAGGGAAGTGGAACAACAGTTACAAAGTGTCGGGGGAGAAAATATAACCTAAGAACGTTACACCCGGTGGAGATACTGTTTAACAATAGAGACAACAGACATTCTCAGACGTTAAAACGGCATGAGTCCTTCCTGGAAAAAGGACAGGTAATGACATCAACTAACCAGGAGGGACAGCCACGGCAAAAGGACTTCAGTGAGCACTGAATGCGCTTCACTGTGAATTAATCCGAAGCAACGTGGGTGCCACGCCCACGGTACGGCAGCAAGTGCCACAAACCCAGCGACGCGGAAGCAGCAGCGTGGGCTACGAAGCTCGGGGTGGCTGGAGGGAGACGGAGTGGGCAGTCGCAAATGCCCTCGCCTTTCAACACCAGAAACAGTTTCTCAGTGAAATGTCCTTTTTCGTAAAAACGTAACAATCCCAACTTCTTACTATTTTCATAATATCTTTTCGTTACCCTGGAACACACATTTGGTAAATCAAAAACCCACAAGGTGCGCCTTCAGGACACTAGCTCTGTTCTGCAGTGTCTCGGGCCAAGTTGACAACGAAGCCTTTTGCGGAAGGTGTCTGTTTAGCCTGAACCCTGGATGTCGAGGGAAGAGCTTGAGAAGAAAGCATTAACTAGCTGTTTTCGGCAGCCTCAGTTCCGCACATGGCAACAGTGACAACAACGGCGAAAAAGCCACGCGACGGCAGCGTGCTGAGCCTTTGCTCAGGCCAACCAGAAGGAAGTTCGCCACACATCTTGTCTACACCCCTCCTCGAATTTGCCCCCCGTCACTCACCCACTACAGAACTCAAAACATCCGACGGTCTGTTCCCCTAAAACACAGTTTTTGAGGCACCACGCTCATTCTGGGCTTGCATCTTGTTGAGTGTTTTATTCTGGTACCTCTCCTGTGGTCCAGCCTTCACTGAGCCCCAGATGCTGAGGACACGGCTGTGGATAAAGCTCCTGACCCCCGAGAGCTGAACCCCCAGGGCGGCACTGTCCAGAACTTCACCACACTGGAAAGCCGGCATCTCTGCTGTCCACTACGGGAGCACCTGAAACGTGGCCAACGCAAACTTTTAATTTTATCTCATTTTAATTACTTTACACTTAAGTAGCCACATGTGGCTCAAGGCATTGTTTGGACAGCACAGCCCCAGAGCCTTGCTACCCAGCATGAGGGCAGGACGAGCAGCAGACCGGGGAGCAGTCAGGAACGCAGACTCTCGGGGCCCACCCAGCCCGCAGATGCACAATCCACATTGTCACAAGGTGGCAAGTGACTCCCGGGTGCTGCAGTTTAGGATGAGTCCAGGTTCTCATCCTGAGCTCACGCCCATCATCTCAGCTGCTCCCCCAAACTCTGTCTCCACTCCCACCCCCGCAGCCGCAGGGACCCTGCTGCCAGGGGACCACTCTGCTAAGGGGCTGGTGGGCCCCGGGTACTCCCCGCTCAGCAGTCTCAGGCCTCCTGCTCCAGACGCCACAGACACCTTTTTCTCCTTACGTCACCCCTTGGTCCCTACACAGCCTGCCCTTTGGGGGTGCCCTGTACCCTCTACAGGGTGGAGTCAAACCCTCTCCCTTCCTCCCCGACTCTCTGACAAAGGTTCATCTCGCTGTTAGGCTTCTGGACCCAGGAGTTCCTCCGGCCTTCTCAGGTGGGCGGCGCTTGCCCAGAGCTGGCAGGTCAGTGACTCCCGTCCCTGGGCGGCCTCCTCTGCTCTGGGAACCAAACTGCGGAGTCGGGAGGCCAGAGAGAGGCAGGACTCAGCGACGCAGTCTCTAGGAGACGTGCGCTCCCGGCTGGCAGGTGTCACAGGCCGGTCTCCTTCCACAGCCACAGCCCGCACGGTCCTGGTCGGTCCTGGTCGTGGGCAGCCGGCCTCCTCTGCCTGGGATCTCACGGCCCGTCCTCTCCCCTGCCTGCCCTTCTTGGGAGCCCTGTCCGTCTTCTCTGGGGTGCCAGCCCTCAAAACGCAAACTCGGAGACTCCCTTGCGGGCCGCCCCGACCTTGGCTCGCCTGAAACCCCCAGTGCTGTCGCTTTCTTCGGGGGTTCCTTCCCCCAGCCAGGCCTCCTGGGCTCCGCTCCCTCCCAGGCCCGCCCAGCAGGCGAAGAGCCCCCCAGACACCGGGACCCCGCCTCGGACGAGTCCGCGCGCGCCCTCCCTGCGCTTGCGTCCGGCCCACGCGCAGAGCCACCGCCGGGAGCTCCCGCGCCGCCCGGACCCCGCGAGGCCCGCCCCGAGCACCCGAGTCCTCGCGACCGTCCGCACCCAGCGCCTCGCCCCTGCCCGCGCCAGATCTCGGCTCCGGGATGGGGACGCGCCGTCCGAGCCCCGCCAGCCGAAGACGGGTGCGAGGCCGCCGGCGGGGCGCGGGACGGATCCCGGCGGAGAGAGGGGGCCGCGCCGGGACCCCTCCCCGGCCCCTTCCCGACCCCTCCAGGCCCCTCCCGGTCCTCCGCCCGGCCCCTCCCCAGCCGCGACCCCTCCCCGGCCCGGCCCCGGCCCCTCCGCGCCGCGCTCACCCGCCGGGTGGCCGTACGGGGACTCGGCCGCGCCGTCCTGCAGGCTCGCCAGGATCTCGCCCTTGCCCACGTCGCTGTCGCCCACCAGCAGGAACTTGAGCAGGAAGTCGTAGGCCCGCACCGGGCTGCCCAGCGCGCTCATCGTGCCGGCCCGGCGCCCCCGCCCATGCCCGGCCGCGGGGCTGCGCGCAGAGGCGGCGGCCGGGCTCCGGAGGCGCCGCGGGTCCCGGGCCCCCGCTCGCCGCCCGCCGCGCCGCGGAGCTGACAGCGCGCGGCCTCGCCCCGCCCGGCCATTGGCGGGCCGCAGTTGCTGGGGCGGCTGCGCGCGCTCACTGGCTGGGCGGCGCGTCCATCTCGCTCTAGTCACCGCCTCCGGGCTGACGCCCACCGGCCCCTTCCGCGAGGACGCCGCCGCCGCAGCCAATGGAGGGCCGGAGACGAGGCGGGGCGGAGCCAGAGGAAGCGGGGGCGGGGACTCTGCTCTTGCAGCCAATGGAGGCCTGGAGACGGGGTGAGGGCGGAGCCAGAGGGAGCTAGGGCGGGGACTGTGCTCCCGCAGCCAATGGAGGTCCGGAGATGGGACGGGGGCGGAGCCATAGGGAACAGGGGCGGGGCGCGGCCGGATGTCACCCGCTGCTTGTCAGCGTTGGTGCTCGAACTCGCGCCTGCGGCGAGTTTACGCGCCCCGCGCCGGGCGGCGGATTGGGCCCTGCCTACCCACTAGGAAGACCTCGGGAGCCAGGTGCGGGTGCAGCAGGTCGCTTCGGTTCTCGGACGCGCGGCCGGAAGGCCCCACTAGGTCGCCTGGCCGCCGGGCTCGGGTCCGGTTGGCCTCGTCCTTGCCCCAGGAGTCACGTGGCGTGCGTGAATGCCTGTGTATGCGCGTGCGTCCATGTGCGCGTGCAGGTGTTCGCGCGTGCACGTGTACTTCTGCAGGTGTCTGCGCAAGCGCGTGTCTGTGTGCACCTGGTGCCTCTGCAGGTGTCTGCACGTACGTTTGCGTGCACCTGGTGCCTCTGCAGGTGTTTGCATGTGCATGTGTGCATCTGGGTGCCTCTGCAGGTGTCTGCATGTACCTCTGTGTGTACCTGGTGCCTCTGCAGGTGTCTGCTCGTGCATGTGTCTTTGTGATGGGGGGACCCAACTGCGCTTGTGTAGGGAGCTGCTTGAGACTCCCATTCAGGTTTTTTTGGGGTGGAGGAGGAAGAGAAGAGCGAGTGGAAGAATTACAAAAGCAATTGAAGTCAGGATTCTATCATCATGGCCAGGCGCTGTGGCTCACGCCTGTAATCCCAGCACTCTGGGAGGCCGAGGCGGGAGGATTGCTTGAGCCCAGCAGTTTGAGACCAGCCTGAGCAAGAATGAGACCCCTTCTCTTTTTTAAAAAATCAAATCAATATTTAAATCAATAAAATAAAAATAAAAATTTAAAAAAGGTTTCGATTATTGTCATTTGTGTTCATTTTAAGAACATGTTTACTTTCACTCCCGGGTGCTGCAGTTTAGGATGAGTCCAGGTTCTCATCCTGAGCTCACGCCCATCATCTCAGCTGCTCTCTCAAACTCTGTCTCCACTCCCACCCCCGCAGCCGCAGGGACCCTGCTGCCAGGGGACCACTCTGCTAAGGGGCTGGTGGGCCCCGGGTACTCCCCG